ATATGAATAATAAAATCTTCTTTCTTCGGATTCAAATCTATGGTGGTATGTATGTACTTTAAAACTAAACTACACACTGAGAATTAGTTCAAAATGGTAATTGTATGCGATCTCGTTTAGTTACTAATTCTCCCACGTTCTCTCCATTGTTTATATTTAAAAATGCACCATCGATTTGAATCCGAAGAAAGAAGATTTTATTATTCATATAGCCTATCAGTGGCGGGTGCTAAAGCCACCTAAGAGTATAATGATATGGATTGCTTTATTACTTTGTACTACGGTATTTATAGTCGCAATCAAATTTTCCCTAAAGTCCCTTTCACAGACAGGCAGGCATGGATTAATGGAATCAGAATTTCATGCTGATCAAGACTATATATATATACTTTATACAGTCGCTGGACTTCCTTTTGTATGACAAAATGTGTATGCACCCATTCCTCGATAGTGGGTATACAATGTAAAACGGTAGCTTTCACGGCAGCTTTAGAATAACAAGTAAAATAAATTGTATAAAAAAAAATTTTAAATACGCTTTTATTTTAGTCACGATAAATATATTTCGGTCACTTTCATAATGACTATAAGCAAAAGCTTGGAGCGCTGGTAATGCTCAAGAAATTGAATTTTTCCAGGCGCTCCATGATTTTAAGTATTAAACGTCCACCTTAATTAATTTAGAATTAATTGGCTTAGATTTAGTTTGTCGCATTCTATCATCCAAGTTCGCTAAATTTATTGTTAAGAAAAAATTAATCCATCCCGTCGTGGTGTCCATATTTATTTCAGAATTAGTGCAGTTTCGACGAACATATAAAATAATTTTAAATATTTAATACTTTAAAAAGTTAAAAGAAAAATTATTTTTTCCATTCTTGCACATAAATAGTAGAGTTTTACGTAAAGTAAATGTAGAGAAGTTCAGCTTTTCTGTCTTTCATAAAGTCTGTGCTTAGACGAAAGTTGGTGTTGGTTTCTGTTTACTCTTTTTTGCGCGGGTGTGCTCTGACCAATTTGGCCCATGTCCAGTACCAACCTGCCTGCAGAAATTTGCCAATTTTTCTATTAAATTTCAAAATATGTCTTCATGGTAATTAAATGCAAAATTACGTTCACTGATTCTGACGACAAAGTGTAATTGACGGATGAGATTAGGAAAAGATGCCTGCCATCATATAACTCTTTAAGACACGTAACAGTAACCCTGTTATGTCTAGTACGGAGATTATTTGGCCATCTATAATAATCGTTACAACTTTTTTTTTTTTTTCCATTTTCTAAGCAAAAAAAAATGAAAATTAAATATATAGATCGTCGTCGATCTTGCAATATAATGTAAGTAAATGGTAGGTAATTTTTTTGATGGAACAAAATTAAATAACGATAAAGATCTGCATGCAAGTACTTTTCTATTTTCTTTTGTTTTTGTTGCTTTTGAAAGATATAAATATTTGTACAAATTTTTTCGCTATAATATAAAATATGGGATAAAAATAATAAAATAGCGAAGTGCGTAGCTTTTTAAATATTTATGGTAAAAAATCGACATCTTTATTAAGTAAGTCTTAGATCGTGTATACAGTGTATGCTATCTAAACTTCCCCACTATTCCTTTAAATAATTGTTGAAAACTGTTTCAAATTCTTTGCCGACTCAAATAACTTGGACTATCAGCGGATGGATTGTTGTTGGTTCGTTTTTATGTTGTAACGGTCCATTTTCGATTTTAACCATTCTGCTGGATGTTGCCGTTTAATATGCACATACATGTTGGATTTGGAACGTGATTCTTTATGGCAATGAGGACAAGCATATAACTGATCGCCCGTGTGTATAGCGATATGTTCTTTTAAGTTTCTTTCTTGCCGGAAAATCTTATCGCAAAATGTACAGCGTAAATTTTTTTCCATTCCATGCCAATAGGCTTTGTGTCTTCGAAGGGAATTAATTGTTTTGAAATTCTTACCGCATATATTACATGGCGTCGGTTTTTTATTATGATTTAATTCATGTAAACGTAAACTGTGACGATTCTTAAGCCAAACTAAACATAACGGGCATTGAAGTGGCGGTTCAATAATACCTTGATGCTCGCGACAGTGGCGTTCGAAAGAACCCTTACTTTTGAATTGCTTCCCGCAGACATCACAAACAAAAAAATAAATGTTCTCATGTATGGATTCGATATGGCGCCTCAGATTGTTTGAGTTATTATATCTGTTGGGTAAAAATTGTTACAACAATTGACTATTCGTTCGGCAAATACTTATATACTTTTTATTACAAACATGGCAAGAAAAGTCACTTCCTTGTACATGACTTTTTACATGTTTCTCGTACAATTTCCGGCTACGAAAACCTCTTGAACATTTCTTACACTTAAAACGTTGCAGCATATCAAGATCTTCCCCGTGGGCGATACCCAAGTGACGTGTCAATCCGTTTTGGGACCGCATCTTTTTACCGCAAGTGTTGCATCTTTAAATCAGTAAATGATTAGTTGATAAAGTCTTTTTAATTTTAAGTAAGCCTTAAAGCCTATACCTATATATGTTGGGGTTCTTGTGCCAATTGATATGCTGTACTAAAGTACTGGTAGCATGGAATGTAGAATCACAGCATTTCACATAAGGTGCTTGGTTGTGAGTTAATTTAAAATGATCACGTAACAATGACCACGATTTAAACTGAGCCTCACAAATATCACAAATTAATTGCATGGCAGCCGCTATTGACACTTCGACATTATAACGTTTTGCTCTTCTCTTTTCTCGCTCATCACTTTGCTTAGGAATCTTGGGCCGCCCACTTTTTCCTCTAGATAAGCTTTTACCTTTTTTGCTGATTGCCTTCATTCGATATTTTAGAGTTAATAATGGTATATCTAAACTTACATGAGGAAGAAATGAAATTCATCAAATAGTTAATTAAAACAAATCAAAGGTTAAAAACAACTACCATCTGATAAGGACTCCTCTAATTGATCATTGCATCTGATATTCTCTTCGACAGAGTTCATTGGTTTTGTAGAGAATGTCTCGCCATTAGTATTATTAAGTCGAACTTCTTCAATTACCAGAGACTCAATTCTCAATTTTCCCAAAGGAATAGATGGAAATTCGTTAAAATTAGTCTTATTATCGATTTCCTCCTTTTGAATGATTCGAAAGTAATCATTACACAGAATGTTCTGCTTTTCCGCCACGTGCTGAGCAAAGGAATTAAATTCTTCCAATTTATCGTAGCACCGTTGGCATATGAGCGTGGATATTGCGTCACTCCTCTGCACCTAAAATCATTATTTATTAAATTTTAAAGTCATGTTTTTATTAATCGGCGCCAATAATAGAATTTACGTCAATGTGCAAGTACTTCTCTATAAGTTTAACCATTTCCGAAGCTTCGGTCTTGCTGTCCAGCACATCGTACAATCTGAAACCATCATCGACCGCTACATGCGTCAAACAAAGTCGACAGTTCATTTTAGTTTAATTACATTTTAGTTTAATTACTATGGCGAATACAAAAATTAGTGCAAAAATGCTCAATCTCTTAATGGAATGGAACGAAATCGAAAATTATAATCCGCCACAAAGATTGTTGTATTTGCTATACTGAAACATTGGCACAACTGAAAAAATTTTTTCAAATTGTGTTATTAGTTTCTGTCACGGCTTTCAAAAAATTTGGTCTTTTTATTTTTCAATTAATTTACGAAGTGCAATTCAAACCTGAACATCATTTTAATATTTAATATTATTATTTAAATGTAAGAAGTTTATATTACACATTTCCTTTAATATTTCCCATTTATTACTTTCGTGTAAGAGTTTTTCAATACAAAATTATTATTTCTAATTAAACGACACTACTACTTCGAAATATTCTTCAATAATGTGTGCTTAAATTGTCAAAAATAGAAAAAGTTTTATATGGGAAAGCATATATACGAATCAAGAAACATATATATATATATAAATCAACGGAATAACAGAACTAATGATATTTTCAAAATGCATACTTTTCGCTTTTAGTTCAATTTTGTATTGATATATTTTCGGATATGGCATTATTTTCATTCAATTTTACATTTAATTTCCCTACTCTCACACTTATGAGTGTTTTATTTTTAATTTTTTTATATTAAAAGATATTCATAATGCATTTTATATACACATACATAGTGATTAGGTAGAATTATGTGCCATCTCTGTTTTTCCGTTAGTATTCTTTCACATTTTTCTCATTCCCAAATTTGTTAAAATGGTTTATAATCTCTGCTTTTTAGCGATTTCTTTATGATGAGCATAAATCAATGCAAAAAAATTTAAAATTGCACTAAATATGAATTCGATGAAAATGTTGCTCAAATGCTGTTGCATATGCTGAAACGTTATAATTGATGCATCAGTGCTTTGATGTTGTCTTAGATGAAGTGCACGTAAGGAATATTGACTTTATTATTACTACCATTGCTAAGGTATACATAAAGTAAGAAGTGAAACACATGTAATATTGTCTTGTACAATTTCCGCAAAAAAGGTAATTCCTAATCTAAAATATATAAAAGTGATTGACCGCGATTTTATTATTAAGTTAATGGTTTAAGTAATAGTGGTGATGAATTAATACGGTCAACTATGTTATGCTTACTAAGTTGGCTATATGCAGAAAATTAGGTTTTCTTTTTTCATGAACATTCCTCCTATAATGTATGATGACTTTTTAAGATTAACATGACAGAATTTCCATAATTCAAACTGTTTTCAATTATCCTGTTAGCAGCTTCGCGCTAATCCAATATTCTTACCAAGAGATAATTGAGGGCAGATGATTTTTAATGATTTATTTATTTTATTTTACAAGTTAGCTTAGAATTAAACCGTCATAATTATTAAACAAAGTCCTCGCTAAATTCCCTGTTGAAAGGCAAAGCACAGAGTCGCTTATAATATATATATATATATGGTTAAAAACCCAACTTAACAACTTAAATGTTAACGCTAATCAGCTATGTTAAATGCGCAACTTAAATAACGGACCAAATTAACAAAAGCCGTCGGCAAAACACACGCAACTTTAATTTAATTTAATTTTAGTTTCTAATTAGTCTAATTATTTACATAAATAAAAAAAACAAAAAATTATCATATTATTGAAGAGAACTTCAATGGATTAAAATTTTATTTTGTTATCGTTATTTCCGATAGCGCCGGTAGTGAAGTTTTTTTCTTGAGTTTAGTTAACCAAGCTGAAAGTAAGGTCAGTAACTATTATTATATTTAGTGAATTAGCTTTGATTTGAAAGGCGTACCTTGAAAGTCATTTAATTGGGAGTTACGTGCGGCTTTCGTCATTCAGAAATTAAAAATTACAATCAAAATTACAAAATCATACAAATGTAAATAAAAACCAAAAAAAATTATATAAAATATCTGATAAAATTAAATGAAGTGAAAGTTATTTAGACGAAACTATGTTAAGGCGGCCGTATGAAATTTCTGTTACACTGTGCAGCACGAAATTTTATAGTCGTATTGGTACGTTAATATTAATTGTAAAAATAATTATTATTGCATAATAATATGTATATTGTCGTTAATGTTCAACTAAACTATTCATGCCAAAAAAAAGAGTAGTTTTATAGGAAATTTGGCATTTCTGATGGTAAATGACTTCTTATTGTATTCTTCTTGTGGCATCGAAAAAAAATGTTTGCTGGATAGATCGCAGATGATCTGCTGAAATCTTGCTGATTCGAACCCTTGCCGTCAACGTTTAAAGGCATTGTAGGGGCAGATTCGCTCATGATTTTTCAGAATATTATAGGACCAGTCCGTCGTCTCCTACGCTGTGAATGACGCTTGATGAAACGGGCTGCCTTATTCTATTCTATGCAGTGGCCTATTTATTGCTTGTGTAACTTATAAAGCATCAGTGTGGTATAGGGATGTCATGTTGGGCGAACAAAAATTTTGAGTTGTCGGCGCGAAATGTTTTTGACGGGTCTATCTGTTTGCAAAGCAATTTTAAACGCAACGCTCTATAAATTTTGAAGATTGTATCCCCTCTGGGGTTTGAGATATTGCCTGTTTGTAACGCCATTATTTTCTGGTCTTTTATTTCTTGGTATCACGAACCCGAAGCAATATTCCAGCTTCAGCCTGGCAGCGGTAACGACTCATTCTAGCAGTTTCGTGGTTATGTTTAGCCTAAATAGCGAAAGAGAGTAGGGCTAGGGTGCATATTCATATTCAGCGTTATCTCGCGCTATGGGGTTACAAATAACTTCGCAAGCTATCTTATTGGAGAAAATGATGATTCATAATACATACATAGGTTTGAGTCTTTATATCTAGGGCGACAATCCATCAAGATAATGAAAAAAGTATATATATATAATGGCAGTACATGTTAGTTTTTTATTTATTCTTTTTTTTTTTTTTCAATAGCACTTAACTCAAAGTCATAACGCTTTCCAGACTTGTGAAGAAGATACTTAAACAAAGTCCACGCAAATGGTTTGTTCATTTCCTTTACAGAAATTTTTGATATTAAAGAAGCGTCGAGCTTAAGGCAAGTTGGTATAAACTTTGCCCAAACAACAAGTTTAACTCATTAAGGAAGCTGAATAATTATTTACCATATGAATTAATAGCGAAACACTTTATGCGCCAAATGTGTGTTAACGGATCGTGCGTTCTCCTTATTGTGGCTTTCTTTGACCCAATTAAAAGCTTACTAAATAGTTAGAAAAGTAGTTTATAGTAGTTTATTGCGATAAAGATTGAAAAAAATTTCAAATCGAGATGAAAATAATTTGTTACTTATGGGTAAGCCCATGCGTTCACCAAGTCTCCCTACATCAACTAAAGTAATCAATATTTGTATAGAATAGTTTCAGTGCTTAGCGCTGCTCTCAGAACTACAAGTATCACATATTTTGGAATTTATCTCAAAAAATAAATGAATATATTTTTCAGCAAGAATCATTGGTCCTTAGCCAAATGTTAAGGTTACGTACAGCTACAAACGCAGATATCGTTTAGCCGTACACTAGCCCACACGGTAAAAAACTAAAGCATACTTTTTTTTTTGCGATTAAATTAATGAAAAGCTTACAAAGATGAAATTGGAAAAACAAAGAAAAGAAAATCGCATATTTATCCAGGATGCAAGGAGCATACAAAAACAATTTATAAAGAAAATTTTCTCAAATGTCTGTCATTGTTCAATATATATATATATATTTATATATATATTTCTTCCAATTACCAAGATAAGATAATATTTTGATGAACTTTTTAGTGGACTTTTCCGTAGAAGCAGCATATGGAATTAGGTCTATTTAAAACACATTTACTGCGCTCTGTTTATAGGTCGTTCACAGGGGCGTAGAGAAGTGGGTGTGCAAGAAATTTATTCCTTAGGAAATAATTAATTAATTGTGGATTTACATTTTTACTATTTTATACGGAAAACATATTAGCTATTAACAGCATTGTACAACTGTTGTTTTGTGAAAAATGTCTTGGATCTGTAAAAAGGGTAAAAAAGGTTCAACAATCTATTACAAATTTTCTTTATATTTTATTTATTGATTATTAAAAGAATAAAAAAGATTCTTTTTTGAATTATTAACTTAATTACATGTTCAATAATTACTTATTAGACAAAGTTTTTGAAAGATAAGGTATATAAAATAAATCAATTTAAGTAACGCTATATGAATCAATAATTCGCCATATAAGGAAATCATGTTGTCCGATAATCGCGTTTAACGATACATTACGACATATTTTTTTCAAATATCTAACAAAATATAATAAATAGAAGTTTGTAAATAAATAATAAAAGATTTGACAGAATGTTATTTGCAAATTGATAGATGTTTTCTTTACTTCTTCTTAATTAACAGTTTTCAAACAGTTTCAAGGCGCTTACGCCGTACACCTCCATTCAATGTATATGCTTATAATAGAAATTTTTCTAATATAAACACGGACCCCAAATAAAAAATCACTTATTTAATTATGGGGAAAATCTTCTTACATAAAGTTCAAAAATAAGTCAGTGCGTCATTGATAGTAATAACATAAAACGTATACGTTCTAATAGTTTTAAATTTAATAAAATAGTACGAATATATATATTGATGTAGCGAAATTAATCTTATATACTATATTGCATATCCCTCATTGTTAAAACATCTTTATGATATCTTGTGGTATTCCTAATGGCTTTAACACAATCTTCCGCATTTATAGATGTAATTGCATGGTCTATATTATTTTCTAAATCATTTAACCGTTGCTCCTTTAAATCGGCAAATGAATCAGTAGGTTTTAATATTGGTGTTTTGAGATTTAATTTGATTTTAGACCATATCATATCCATTGGATTTAGCATGGGGGAATATGGACTCAATAATAGTAATGTAGCATTGGAATCTGTAAATTTCTCGTCCAAGGCGGAAAAGCATAGCTCGGTATCACATATTATGACCAATTGTGAGGGATCATTACATATTGTCTGCCATTTTCTAAGGACAGTATCTGGATTGGGCTGGTCTCGACTACGCTGTATGGATAAGACACCAGTTGTTGTAATGGCTCCAATCAAGTGTATACTGGGATCATATGCAGTCACTATAGAATTTGTATTGAAACGACCTTTCGCCCGACGGCAAAACATTTTATAATTGGTTTCGCCAACCCAAATAAGAGTTTTATCAGAATTCATGTAATAATTTAAACTGTTTACAAATTCGGCCCGTTTCCTTTTGTTTTCTAAAGTATTAATTATCATTGGATTATAGTTTGGGTCTTTTAGCCTGTATAGTCTTCCTTCGAGACTACCTTCGATAAGATAAACGCATACGTCGCGTTTCATATGGATTTTCACTTTCGCGACCAAATCCTTTAAGGTTGTTTGACGATTTTCCTCAATCCATTTGATTATGGAACTCATTTCTGCTTCAGTGAATGCTCTTGTCTTTTTGCCATTTTTTAAAAACATTTCCTTACGACTGGTGGATACCCATGTATAAGCTGTTTTATATTTAACACCCAAAGCTGTGGCCAACGCAGACCAATCATCTCCTCTGTTAGCAGCTGCAACGATTCTTGCCCTGTCTTCAGGTGTATGAGTTTTATAAGGGGTTTTTCGCACATGTTTCGTTGGTGTCAACGCTCTAATTGAAATTTATGTTATGAAAGTTATGAATGTAGACATTTTTATTTTTTACGAGCTTACTTGAAGCTATCGTGACTTTCAAACCATGATACTTGCTCAAATTTCGGCAATGTATTGCTGCTATCGCCAAAGATATTGGCCATTGATTCGCTTTGTACAAGTAAACTCTCTGGATCCGGATTTGGCGACTCTGATCCTTCCTCTGCTTTAAATTCTACAATAACATCAATGTCTCTTATAAATGTACTAGTATCTTCTCCATCTGAATTCTCTATTTTAATAGTGGGTATACCACAATTTAAAGATTTCTGCTTTTGCTGAATTAGTAATGCAAACTTATGGAAGTCATTCAAATGTGTGTAACACAAAGCGCATATTGATGGAGCATCATTGGAAGTCAGCTATTTAATTACGAAAAACGAATATAAGAAAGATCGTTGAGCAAATACTGTTGAGTTCGACTCACCTCTACTTGCAAATATTTTTCTATAATTTCCAGCAGTTGATTTGACTGATCATCCACCGTTATATGTTCATTTAGATTATAACTTTCTGCTCCGCTCAGCGCATTTAAACACAAACAACAAGCCATTTTACCAATATCAAATTTAAAACAAATTATTACTTTTATTTTCTTAATTATTTAGCCATTAATAATAATTTAATATCTATTTGTATGCAAAAAGTATAGTAAACTCAAACATAGTCAATGCGAATAGTATAATTAATATATAAAACATATCTACTTCTTCTTTCCTTCCTTTAGTTTCCACAGTGGAATGATAGCATCAATACGTTTCGCGTGCAAGTTTGGTGGTGGTATACTAGCAATTTGCAGCATTGCTTAGCTAAATTGAGAAATTGTATTCACCTTTTTCGAATTTTAATCACAACTTCTACAGACCTACTCAACACGTTCCTAATGCAAGCCGAGAACATTGTTAACTCATCTGCTGAATGCACTCGACGAAGAGAAATCGCTTGCTCCAAACTATTCCTTACTTGGATCAGGTAATACCGCCAACATCAAAAAAGAGAGCTATCTTATCACAAAATTGCGTATGTTACCAAAACATTGGAGAATCGCTCGGCAGTTAACAGATAGATCTTAGGGGGTGTAGAATTCTGGTTTACTTGAACTCACCCAAAATAAATATTTAAGATAAAAAAACTACATAAAAATTTGAAATATTATTAGAAAAAATGATTTTATTAAATCTTTTTTAAATTTCAATATCCCCGCCCTAATACCCACTTAGCAAAGTCAATACACATTTGGAAAATAATGTGTGTACGTCTACGTTTTTTTCACTTGTTACCTACCGTATCGAAATTCTTACGATTTTTTATATTTTCATTGAAAAATTACTTGGTTGATTTTCATTTTTTGCCCCACGACTGTAGTTTTCGCCTCTCTAAATATATTACAACTTAATTTTGGCAACACTACGTCACGCATTCTTGGAGGAAAGTGAAAAATTTTTACAAATTTTTGAACGAGTGCTAATTTGCTACGATGATGGCAGATTTAGACAAATGGATTGACATTGTCAAGGATTGCAAATATTTGCCAGAGAATGACTTGAAGAAATTATGTGATTGGGTATGTGAAATTCTAATGGAAGAATCGAATATTCAGCCAGTCAGTACTCCTGTAACAGTTTGTGGTGATATACATGGCCAGGTGAGGTCTTTCACAGCTAGCGTTGGTTAATTGTTGTGAGAATAATAAGACTATGCTTTTTCTCTAGTTTTATGATTTAGAAGAGCTTTTTCGTACTGGTGGACCTATACCAGATACTAATTATATATTTATGGGAGACTTTGTTGATCGCGGTTATTATAGTTTAGAAACCCTAACCCGGCTATTAACTTTAAAGGTAAATGTACGTAATTTATTAAGCGTTATAAACATATACATTTTTTAAGCAGGCTCGTTATCCTGATCGCATAACATTACTGCGGGGTAACCACGAGTCTCGGCAAATCACTAAAGTGTATGGGTTTTATGACGAATGCTTTAGCAAATATGGAAACGCAAATGCTTGGAAGTATTGTTGTAAGGTATTTGATTTGCTAACCATTGCGGCTGTAAGTGAGAAACTAACAACAATTAAAACAGAACTTATATGAGTTACTATTGCAAATTTTAGATAATTGATGAAGAAGTATTATGTGTGCATGGTGGCCTTAGCCCAGAAATTATAACCTTAGACCAGATTCGCACAATTGATCGCAATGTGGAGATTCCTTATAAGGGCGCTTTTTGCGATTTAGTTTGGTCTGATCCAGAGGATATGGATTATTGGTATGTTAGTTATTACTTAAATTTATTAATTGGCAAAAATTTTGGTGTTCAGATTTTTTGGTTAGTTTGTAGTGCCAAAAAAGCTCTGTCAGATATCACATAAGTTATTCACCTTCTTAACGAAAAAAATTAGGGAATTCTATCCGTATTAAGCATCACAATGATCAGAATTTCTATGACTATAACACGATATAAGAGTTAAATTTAAAAATAGATGTGATATGTCTATATTTACTAAAGATACTAGGAAATTAGAGAAATAATCCTGATTGATGCACTAACACTCTCGCGACAAAGCGCTATGTAATTCCAAGTTTAGTGATTTGGTATTGTATACTTGCCAAAAACAATATAATTTTTTTCTTTTTAGGGGACAAAGTCCTCGTGGAGCGGGGTGGCTTTTTGGACAAAAAGTTACTAAAGATTTCATGCAGATTAACAATTTAGAGCTGATCTGTCGTGCTCATCAATTAGTAAACGAAGGTATTAAGTATATGTTTGAGGATAAACTGGTTACGGTGTGGTCAGCACCAAATTACTGTTATCGATGTGGTAATGTGGCTGCAATATTAAGCTTCCAAACTCCAAAAGAGCGCATTACCAAAATATTTGTGGCTGTTCCCGAAACCGATCGGGTTATACCTCCTCAAAATACAACACCATACTTCCTTTAAATCGATCGAAAATAAAGAAGATTCACTAAGACATAACTATAGCGTTTAGTTGTTTCCCAAGCAATTTTTATCGATTATAATATTCTGCGAAATTGTTTTCAGGAATTCTTATAAGTTTGTTTTTATCCCCCCGAGATCGAATATAAACCAAAAAAACCGATTTTGTAAATATATATTTTTGTTGTATAATTCAATAGAAAAATATGTATAAAAAACTTGATATTTCAAAGATCCATTTGCCTAAACTAATTCGGAGGGTGGTGACAGGGCGAGATTTTTATGAATACTTTGGTGTTAATATCGAATGCAGGGAGGACGTGTGACACAATGACAAGACAATTTTTAATGTGAATGCTCATAAATACTAATAAAAAATATGGGAGCAGTTGGTTATTAGGCATGACAGCATAAATATTTCCTCTGTCAAATTCGTCAAGTGCTGAGGAGTGGCAATCAATGTCGGTGCAAATACAGTCGCTAAATTATGTTCATTCATTTTATTGGCAGCGTAATGCGAAGCAACCCTAAGCATTGGGAAAATTATAAACTTAATTATAAAGTTGGAGCCATTGCAAATATAAACCGTTATACCGTTTCAGATGTTCCATCATGTATTTGAGGCAGTTGAAATGTGCTAACGGTAGCTTTTTGACAGCCTCGCTCATTTCTTTCACTTGATCATCTTTATTGAACGTTCCTGTTAAATAAAATGTAAGTAAGCTCGTTTCGTTCTTAAAAATTAAAAGTTAACGTACTTGCAGCGTCCATAAAATTTGGATAAGCTTGAAATGTGATCAACGGTACTGGCAATAAGCGCAAATATAATTTTAAAGTGCCTGCTATTACATTTATATTCCCATAAGCTGTTTCTGACATATCCGTTTTTTCCCCATCCCTATCTAACGCTAATTTAAGTGCATCTATTTCATCGGCAAACCCTGAAACCCTGTATATTCCCTCCTGAAGCATTCCCCGTGCTTCAACTTCTTCTACACATCGTTGTACTACGAAGGGAATGGAACATTGATACAACTGAACGACTGTTGTTAGGTCTGTGCCAAAAACGCCACGTATACGTTTAAGATCTGGTATACATTTGGCAGGTACCAATTCCGAGCATTTAGAATGAGCTATTATTCCGCAATCATCACATTTAACGCCTTGCGCGGTGAAGCCCCATAAAAAATTGGCGCAAACTTCACACCAGTTTAGTCCTTTAAATGTATGGACTTTAAAAGCGTGAACTTTCTCATAAATGAATGGCAAGATAGAGTCGGCATCATTTTCTTTCATCTTAGTTGCGTTTTCCATATTTTTGTTTGATGACAAATCGTTTTCCTCAGTAACAGCTTTTATTTCAGAGTCGTCCAGCCCATCGAATTTATTGGCAATAGATTTGCGTAATTCATTTGAAAGTGCGCGCAATTTTCTACGATTTAGTGTCATATACGGACTTTGATGATACGAATTTCCAGTTTGCTGGTTAATTTCTTGAATAATGGGGGCAGCATGTTGTTGCATATAAAAATTTACAAGGCCATCCGCTACCAAATCGTGTATAGATTCAAAACGTTTGGATTGTTCTTGCAAATAATGTCCATGTCCAAATTTATAGTATATTTTAAAATGTTTGGTGCGTTCATCAAAACGCAAACTTAATGTATAATAATCACGAGCAGAGGGACTGCGCCGAAGCAAGAATGTACCATCTGCTTTATTATTTAACAAATCTTCGGCTTCCAAGTGCCCCATTCGCCCGTGGTACTCATTACCATAGAAACTCGGCTTTCTCTCGTACTCTGTTAAAATTTTTAGGCAAGATAAGGGCTTTGGTGTAGGAGCCTCTAACTGTATTTTATACAGCTCAGGCTTCCACAAATTTTGCATGGGCGAACTAGGCTCTGCCATTGCTCCACCTTGAGTCTTTTTTACTGGCCTAGTTTTCGAGATTTCTTGGCATAATCACAATATAAAACTCCGTTCTGTTTAGATTTTTGAAAAAAAAAAAAACACTTTATTTTTAGTGTTTGTAGATGCTTATAATTAAAACTAGTTGTGTTTTTTTTAAATCATTATTGCTCCAGAGTTGCCAAAATTTTCATTTGTATAACTAATTAGCTACTAAAGCGACTACTCCTAGAGCGCCGACACAGCGCCGCGTTATTCTTATTTTCAGGTTGTAAAGTTCCACGCGGCAATCACGGTGGAAAGCCATGTTATAGAACAATATAAATCAAATCAAGTAATTTTTGAAACAAAAATAAAGAAATCAATATAAAATTAAAAAATAAATATATGAAAAACAACAATAAAAAAGATTTACGTAAAGAAAAAAAATTTGTTTTGGCTGATTATTGATGTAAATAATGAAGAAAATGAATTTAATCGCAGCATAGAAGTGGGTTTTACTGACGCAGTTAAATCAAACAAAAGAAGAGCTTAAATACTTTGACTTGAAAACCAAAGATGTGAAGTTATACTTAAATTTAACTAGTAAAGACGCAAACCAATTTTTTACAGAGCTCTGCTAAACTATTAACAGAATTCTGGTAAACGAAGTCTCGCAGGGTTTTAATTCAGAATACTGTTAAAATGGTACTTTTCGAGAATATCTTTATAAACTTTTATATACAAAATATATATTTACGTAAATTAATTAATATTTGAAAGCACAGCGTGTTTAAACTATGCCATAGATGAGGTTGATAAAGCGAAAGTTTGCTAAGATAATGTGGAAAATTGTACCCTGTGAACAAATGAAACTAGTGTAGCGTGAATCCTCTATTATAATAGCCTTTCCAGCAGTGTGCACTTTACATTAAGTTTTACTCGCAGAATTTTTGAAAATTTCCGTCCTTAACATAACACAGGCTAACATACATGACTTATGCAACAAACTGCAGCGCTGCACCTAGCGACTGCGCTGCATCTACCACTAGTTTCCTTTCCAATTTAGGACGATGTTACCGCTTACGTTTTCCGCAAAAAATTAAAATTTAATTTCTTTGCAGCGCAGTCGCAGTTTTTAAAATATTACGATAAAATTTGGTATATGGGGTGAAAATTGGTATAGCAGCCGCCATGTGCACGCAGCAGTTGAGTGCAGCTCAGTATTTGAGTGCAACGCAACAGCTGGATGCAGCGGTGTCCCTAGGTGCAGCGCAGCCTGCTACATCATAAATGTGTATTTAGTTTTATTATTTTTAGAACTTGGATTTTTAGAAAATTTGTTAGCTTATGGGCTAACCCATTTCAAAATTCAAAAATCGTTATCGATTATTAATTCGAATACTTTTAAGTAACACAACATTTGCGGTGACGAATTCCCGAACATTTTTTATTATGTTATGTTAACTAAATCGCTATGAAATTTTTTGATTTCATCACAGACTCTTTTAAATATTTTTAACCGATCTCCGGATCCATTTGAGATTTTTAAAATTTTTAGTTGGGCTGTTAAACCGAACCAAAGAAACTAAACATATGAAATTGTTTACAAATCAAAGGTCGGTATAGCGACTTCAAAAAAAAGCATATGAATTTGTTTACAAATGAAATATTTGTAATGGGCTCAGAGTTTCGTCGTAGCTAATATTTCAGTTGCCTCTGCCTATCGTTCTTTTTAGTAATCTCCTTGGCCGAGAATCGACTTTTTGAGATTAGCTCAACTATTAATATTAATCGAAAGGCATGAAAAGAAATGTAACTGTTTATGATAATTCGCCTTATCGGAAGGAAAAAATTTGGGCGCAGAATCTCTTTTCCATGGATGAAGACATCAGGCGATCATCGTTCACAGTCGCAAAAAAAAAACTGCATGACTTACCATAAATTAACAATTATTTGCTGCATAAGTATGCTTATGCTTCCTAGTTTCAATTCAAATCAGATTTTTTCTCTTTCTTTACGAATTTTTTTTCAATAATGGAAAAAATTGAGAATACTGTAAAATGCGATAATTAACCTTAAGAATATATATATAAATATATATACTTTTTCTCGCGTTTTTTCCTCTTTTGAAATTCACATTTCGCTTCTTTTTTTTGTACATTTAAGAAATAAATTAAATAAATATGCTCCTCTTATTATGAGCACCCCGAGAATACTGTAAACTGATTTGAAATACTGCTTACAATTATTAGTTGCGGTATTACTGCTGAACGTGTTTTAAGAAGAAATGACCAAATGAAATTTTTCGAAAAAAGTAGTTAAAAACATAAACAATTTAGTGAAAGAAAGGACAATTAAATTACGCGTAAATAAAAATGAAGTCTAAGATTGATTTCCTCGGATAATGGATTGCTAGTAGGGATTGTTGAAAGTGTTAAATAGAATTGGAATGCAAATCGACTTCTGGCAAGAGAAGGCAAGAGAGTGCAACACGCAAGCAATCAGAAAAATAAACATCGATTTGAATGGGTAAATGAGTTGATGTGGTGGTATATATATATATATATATATATATATATGCATATACATATATATTTATATAAATGCATATATTAATTTACTGGAAACATAAAAAGTTAGATGTGTCAGTAGTGCGGGATCAAAACAGAAAGAGACCTTGAAAAGATTCAATTGAGAGTAAAGAGAATATAGGAATATGAATTGTAAGAAAGGGAAAATGCAAAAGATTCAATAAAACAACTGCAATCAAATTAGGAACAGAGGCAAAAAAGGAATAAACAAATTTGTAAAATTGGCAAATTGCCATTAAAAATGACCACAATGTCCATTCATAAGATCATAGGGGCAGAAAATGTGATATCCACGGCGATAAGTGAACCGGAAACGGCCCGGTTGTCTTCAACCCCATCTCCTTCAACGACGGAAGATGGTGGGGTTACTATTATTAACGGTCGTGAAGCCCGCAACTTGGCAGAGAAGCAACGGCGAGATAAATTAAATGCTAGTATCGGTGAGTTAGCAACGATGGTACCGCATGTAGTGGACGCACAGCGCAGAATGGATAAAACGGCTGTGCTAAGATTTGCTACACATGGTCTCCGACTACAATATGTATTCGGGAAGTCGGCGATTAGACGCAATAAAATAAGAGGACACGATCAATTGATGACTAATGCATTACTCCAACTCTTAGACAGTTTCCTTATAACCCTAACATGCCACGGCCAAATAGTGCTTATTTCCTCGAGTGTCGAACATTTGTTGGGTCATTGCCAATCGGACCTGTACGGTCAGAATATTTTACAAATAACGCATCCAGATGATCACAATTCTTTAAGACAACATTTAATTCCAAAAGATATTGAGAACTTGTTTGGAGTTATTCAAACATCATACCATTCACAGCAACGACAACCGGAGCAAGATCCTTTAGAGAAGATCTATTGTCAAAATCCATTCAATCAAGGCAACTGTGATCGCATCAATGAAAAATTAAGAGCCGATAAGCGTTGTTTTACTGTACGCTTGGCTCGTGCTTCTACGCGATCTGAGGCAAGAAAGGTCTACGAGGTCGTTAAAATTGACGGCTGTTTTCGGCGTAGCGATTATTCAATCGCACCCAGTGGCAGTTATCCCATTGTTTCCCAACTAATTCGGCGTTCACGTAGTAATGGAAATGCGCCCGTCATAGGTGGAGGTGCTTTCATACCACATTTAATGCAACACGACGCCATAGCCCAGGCCGCTTTACATGGAGTTAGTGGCAACGATATTGTCTTAGTAGCCATGGCTCGTATTATCCGTCCACCGAAAATTCTCAATTGGCCTTTAGACGCAAACCGTTTGGAATATAAAACACGTCACTTAATTGATGGGCGCATTATTGAATGTGATCAGCGCATAAGTTTGGTTGCAGGCTATCTAAAGGACGAGGTAAGTGATTAATGGCACTGAGTTTTTAAAGTCTTACATATTAAAAATGTTTGGATGAATTTTCCGTCAGGTTCGAAATCTAAGTCCATTTTCATTTATGCATCAAGACGACGTTCGTTGGGTTATTGTGGCTTTGCGTCAAATGTATGATTGTAATAGTGATTATGGTGAAAGTTGCTTTCGGTTATTGTCGCGAAATGGAAATTTCATCTATATGCAAACAAGAGGGTACCTGGAAATAGATAAAAGCACGAACAAAGTTCATTCATTTGTCTGCATCAATACCTTGCTTGATGAAGAAGACGGGCGACGTAAAGTGCAAGAAATGAAAAATAGATTTTCCATAATAATAAATGCTAAGGTGCCAACGAATTCCGTACAGGATTTACCTGCCTCTCAAAATCCTCAGCAGTTGGAACGAATTGTTTTGTACCTGATCGAAGACTTGCAAAAGCGACAAAGTTCTAGTTGCATAGTGGATGAGATACATTCTAACGAAGAGTGTAACAACTTTAATTACAGCAGTACACCACCTTTAGCGTTAGTGCCGCCAGAACCCGCTTCTGTTAAAAGTTCAATATCTCAGTCAGTGAGTGTAGTAAACATTACGGCAGCCAAAAACTTTCATATAAAAACGAAAATTGATGAGTGCAGGGAAGCTCAATGGAGTGACGGCGACGGCGACGGCGACGAGGCCAACGGTGAATCATCTATGCCAGCCGATTCGCCAACGAAACAACAACAAAGTAGAGCAACCGTTTTGCAAATGCAAACAAAGACAAGTCGAATTGTAGATAAAGACATTGTTGAAAAAGAGACTGCGATTCCAATGGAATCATCACGTTCCACGGTTTTGAAGCGTTTTTCTACCACTGCCGACGACAGTAGCATCGAACACCAGCCATCCAAACGTATTTTGAATACAACCGTAGAGAATCCGTTAACGCATAGCACTTCCAATCACTCTGGAAATAGTAACACGTCAGACATTCACAACTTTATATCGACATCATTACGACATGTTTGCGAATCATTGCATAGAATTGATGCCCGTACGAGCACATTGCGTAAACAACGATCTAGCCTTCCTAGCTCTATTGATCATAAGTTGGATGCCATCATTATTGAGCAACAGAAGCAAAATGAATTTTTGGCGAATATTAAAACAGAATACGAAGAGCACGTCGAGGAATATCCTCAGTCTGACGAAGGCCTTTTGTCACGACTGTAGAGTACTCTAAATGGCGAATCCCTAAAAAATAGACATCCTGAATATAATATATATAATTATATATGCAGTCAAATATACATATGAATTTTTGTATGTATATTTTAGGTCTTTGTGCCCTTTAAGCTGAGTTTTAAACAAAATATGCATCCTTTTAAGAAATGATAGTCTTATGCACACCTCTGTTTCCTTTATGGTGTGATTTATCCCAACTAACGATTTTATTATACCCTGTCAATTAATAAAAACGAAGTTTTAAAATAGGATATAATATTCCGTTGCTTTTAAGGGATCTTCATTTTAATTAAGTAACGAGAATACCAAGTACAAGCTGCTGATAATTTGAAGTGCTTTTTATTTTCATTTAAAAAAGGACTGTACAGAAACTCCTTCAATAAAAAGCAATTTTGTTTTTCTTTTTTTTTTCTTTTTCTTTGTATATAATAATAATTGTTTGCTTTGTTTTTTAAATTTGTTATTTTTTCTAGATAGTGGTTTTTTTTTTTTTTTTGTATTATTTAATTATTGTAAATGTATAGGGTGACGTTAATTTTTAAAATTTTTCAAATTTAAAAAAAGTAAACATTTGTTTATTTAGTGAAAATTTTTTATTAATTTTAAGACAAACAAATTTTTAGTTTTTCTTTGATTCATTCGATAAGTAAATGTAATTAGATAAGTTTAACTTACAGCGTAAATTATCTTATTATTATTTATACTAAAGTTTAATGAAACCTTAACAGATCTTAAGCTATCATAAAAATATTATTGTAAAACAAAAAAAAAAATATTTTTAAAATCCATTTTGCTACTTAAGTATAAATTGTTCATAACGTTATTTTTTTAGGTAATCTATCGTTTGTTATTGAAAGCTTATCAGAATAATTTATATTTATAGTCATTACAAGTAAAGTGAGTACGAAATTATTGCTGATATTTATTAAAAAAAAAATCGAGGATTAAAAAATCAAATTTATTTATTTTAAATGTAATAACAGGAAAAATCAACATTAGATTAAAAATGTGCTCTGGGAATAATGAAAAAAGTTTAAAATCCAAAATTTTATTATGAGCTATCACTATAATATCTTATGCAACATATATTTGCCTTTGATTGTAAATTCAGCGCCCAACAAATATTACTCGTGTAATCCATGTAACCGTAACGTACAAGGATGAATATTTCGGTAAAATGCTTTTCAAACACACATATGTATTAACTATTGTAACGTGAAATGGCGTCTTGCGAACTTTCCAACGTTCTATTCGATAAAATAGGATAAAATAAGTTTCATTTATAATTCTTACAAGATCTAATTGCAAATTATTTACACGAATTACAATAATGCTTCCGGTTTTGTGCCTTTGAATATTACGCTTTTACTCTCTTGACTTGATTAGCTTTTCTTCAAGCAATATATCATTGGCAAATTTCATTGTTTTTAATCATTTCGCCAGTCGCTAGCTGCGCCGACAGTTAAAATACCATTAATCTGTATTTGATCATTTTACCAAATGTGGGATTTCTTTAAAACTAATATGACAAATTTATGTTGCTGTTAATAAATACTTAACCTGCATTTAATAATAACGGCTACGAGTCCCTTTCTTTTATGTAATTTACTAAGGATTACAAATACTGTCTTTGCGGTTGTGATTAACGCTATTATCGGGTATATCGCATACATATTGCCACAGCTACAGAATTTTTTGGAAATTGTTCAACTTTTCTAAGCAATGACACGCCTACAATTGCTCCTGCTTTTCGTACTCTTAGCTTAATGCTTATATGCTTGTTCGCATAGATTGGCCAGACATCAGAACTTCAAAAATCCTAGAACATTTCGCTTCAAAAGTCGAGATATAATAAAATAAACCAAAAAAATTAACTGAAACTCAAGAATGATAACAATGATGATACCTGTGTACGCTTATAATCCAGTTATCTGTTAACTTTATTAAGGTTCAAACAAAGAATATCGTGTTCGCATTGAACCTTTCTTACTCCACTCAGCGCACCAAGTCATGTGTTGTTGATTTGTTGACTCATAGAAGAAAAGCATCGATAACCCAAAAGTGGTTTAAGAAAGTTAAAGCATTATAAATTAGCAAACCCTGTCCACTGTCTCAACAGACTACTATATTCCAAAGTTAAGAATTCAATAAAAATTTGCGATTTTATAAGATAATGGAAAATAATAATTTGTAACATTGATCTGCTGGAAACATCTTATATGACAGGGATTCAAAGCTTGATTTGGCCTAACTCAACATGACTTTTTTTGCCGTAAAAGTTCGCATTCTTTGCTTCTCTACGAAGCAACATAAATTAGACCATGTTGCCAAATGAAGATTTATTTATCATCAGAATCCTCAATTCTCATCTTTTGACAACATGTATTTATATATCAAATCATTACGCTAGACCGATTTATATTATAAAATATATTGAAGATCTCGTCGCCATTATAAGGGAATTGCTCGCAAAAAGTATCTGATTCAATACAGTTTCTAACAAGGACCAAAATACGTCAGTGTCACAAATCTGGTTAAACACTTACTCTCATTACAAGTGGTGCATAGTATAATAAAAAAGACACTAAAAATATCCTACCTGCAAGATCTATTTAAAATTTATCATAAATATCTGTTAAATTAATAGTGAAAGAACTGTTTCGCTTACATAGCATCTGAAAGTTTCGGGTTTTCAGAGTGCCAAAGTGTATCCTCTCGTTGAATTAAGACTCATATACATTGAATTTTCGAATTAATTTATGTTATTTCTACTATTAGATTTCAAATTTCCTTAAAGTCTGATATTTACTTAAAAAGTATATTATTTTTAATTTAGCCTAAAGGCATGCTATAAAACATATGATCACTATATTCAATTCGGTTTTTTATAAAGCATTTCTTTACGAATGCAATTGCTTTCTTTTTATGTGCTCTGCGTGCTTACTCTTTGCTTACTACGATAAAACTTGGTAGCACTTTTTCAGTTTCATTGCTAGTATTGTTATTGTAAATTTTTGTTTACTTTATTTATGTAATTTAATAGATTTATGTGTATAATTTACTGCAGGATAGCGATTACGTATGAAAAAGTTTAATTATTGTTCTCGCTTTTCGCCTGATTTTGCGTTATGTATGATATTATCAACCGCTACTTTTCATTAATTTCCGTTTTTTTGAATTATGTGTGTGCACAACAGCTGTGAAATATCTTGTTGCATATCTGAGAGCAAGACAACTCACATTTTGCGTTAGGATTGGTTGTTCAGAGTTACTGTTGATTATTCAGAGTTGCATTTATGCAAAAAAAAGGAAGCTGTAAAAGAAAACTAAAAGAAAATCTAAAGAAAACCTTTGTACTTACAAATAGAAAAAAACAAGACGATTTAATTTTATAAAAGGTGATAACATACATAACTGACTAGCGTTACACCTTTGCCTCTTAATAAAAGTCAATCCGGTGCGCCAATTACGTGTGAAAAATTTCACTGTCTCTCTCGTTTTTTTTTCAGGTGATTTTGTATTGTGTACGCTATTGTTATGTAGTATTTTGCACTAATTCTGGCTTTTTGAATTCAGTATGCACAACAGCTGTTAAATATCCTCTTTCGAATCTGCCAAATCAGACGAGAACATAATCGCTATTGTCTTTCATTAGTTTTTCTGAGTTATTATTGGTTGTTCAGAGTTGCATTTATAAGTGAAAAGAGCTGCGAATGGAAAAGAAAAGAAATTCTAACCAAAACTGTTTAGTTAAAAACTTGATGCAAAGTATAGGCAAAAAAATAAGAAGTAATATATAACGTTCAAATCAGGTTTCTATTTACCAGCATCTTGAAATAAATATTTATGCATACAGCCAATATATAATATCCAAAGGTATTAGCGGAGCTACTCGTCAACACTTGGGATTTGACAAACAAGAAATTTTATTTTTTTTTCAAAATATACTAAACGGTTCTTATTTTATTACTTAAAGATTTTAATCTATATATAATATTCCTCTTTTTTTTTTTTTGTTTCCTTAATATAGACATATATTAGGTTTTGGCTAATATACATATAAGATTGTTTTCACTGATTTCTGTATGATATTATCGTTGTTTATATAGCGTTGATTGTTTATAAACAAGCAAAAGTCAATCGGGGCACTATTTTCCTTCATTTTTTCTAAATATATAATAGTAAACGATAGTGATACATAAAGCAAAAAACAAGACTATCTGTTTTTCAACATCGAAGCGAACGAGAGTTAATGAAATCCACACAGTCGGTGTCCAGATATTCAAATTTGAATTTTCGCGTTTTTGTCGTTATACCCTACACTACTTGCGAAGCAGCGTATATTAAGTTTATGCGGACGTACATAACACTCAGAATGGCTTAAGACAGACCCAAGATTTATTATAGAAAAAATATAGGAAACAATTCTGAATCGGTCTAAGCCTGTCCATCCGTCTATCCGCCTAATTTCTGTCTATGAAGTTTTGAGATTTCAGTTACAGATCGTGATTTTTGAGACATTTGGATGAAATTTGTTACAAAGACGTACTTTGTCCCAAGAACCAATCCTATTGAAAATGTCCCGTATCGGTTCACCTTTTTGACTAGTCACCGAAAAAAATTTGCAATTTTCAAAATTTCTCGACGAATGTGGCTGGGTAATAGTATTTCGACTTTCTAAATGAGTATGAAAAATTTGATTGGGCTAGGATGGTTTTTTGAACCTCCTCTTATAGAATCGTTCGTGCAAAAATTTAGTCTTACATCACAACAAGGTCTAATTTTTAACATTTCATGGTGAAAATTGGCTTACACCAGTAAATTGACAAATAAGTTAGCTTTATCGAATTCGAAATACATAGGCCTTTTTGACATGTAAAGTTTCCATTTCCTGAGAATCCTTATATGCGGTGATAAAACCCAAAAAAAAAAGGCCTACTTGTTGTTTCGGGATGAAAATTTGTTCATGATAGTAATATGACATACAAAGGAAGTGGACGAAATTTGAATCAAATGAATTTATTTCCTGGATTCCAGTCCATATTTGATATCTTATGAATCGTAAGCCCTTCACAAAAAAGTTTATTTCTTAATATTTTGTGATGAAAATTTTTCTATAGATACAGTAGAGAATTCGGATCATATAAGTCTATTTTTTTAAATCTTATCACATATAGGGGTTACTATGAGAGAGAGAAAGTCTAGTTTCTGGTTGTTTATGCCGGAAACTAAAAAATAATGAAAGTTTTAAGAAGTAAATTAAGTTTGCGAAATTTTGATGACGCCATGTCATGGTTTGGCCATACTCCAATATGCGGGCTTATATGAAAAAGTATGCATTTGTATGAAGATAATGTGTAATTTTTGGTGTATTATTACCAAAATGAGGGAATAACTGCATTAGATGAAGTCCTAGAGGATACTTAATGGTCGGCCTTGCCTGACGACAATGTTCTCACTTTTACTATTTATTTATTTATTTTTTTTTCAAATTAGAAATTATGTATAAATTTGCATATATTTGGTGGCATTTTAGTAATTTTTTATAAAAGACAAGAGAAGCACGATTAGTTAAAAGTTGGAGAAGAAAAGAAAAAATAAACCTGAAAATTTATTTTTATTATTTATTATTTGTTTGCTTTAAAGATAGCAAAAAAAGGGGCCAAACACTTTACTTTGATCATCGTTAACGTATGTAACCATAAATGCAGATATGTGCGTATACATATATATACATATATATATATATATATATATATATATATAACACACAAGCTACAACATAGAAGAGATTTTACGCTCTTCCTATTAAAATGCTTAAAGAAATTCGTTTGTTTCATTTACGAGACGCCCTCTGCCTTTTTAAAACGCTTTTGCGGCTAGTTAAACGAAATGCTTATAAAAGCTAGCGCGAGCTAGCTTGTTACTTAGTTAACTTAAAGTGTTCGATTGGTTTTAAATGGCGGTTACGTTCGTAATCAATTGCCCATAAATAGCGATTTATTAAATTTGTTTCAAATCACTGCGGTATTAAGTACAAGACTTGATAATACGTACATATATACGTACATATATATAATACATCCATACATACATACATACATACATATATATATATATTTCAAAATTATATATAATTTAAGGATATTAAGAAAGATGGTAAGTAATGCTACGGCGGATATTCTTCATTAAAGTCCGGCTTATGTGCATAGTGATGAAGGAAATAAAAAAAAAAAAAAAAAAAAACAAAATAAATAAATAAATAACTAAATATAAAAGTATAAGAAAATAAAATCATTTGTTTACTACCTAGTAAACAAAGCATTTCGAAAGCAAGTATATTTAAAATCAATAGAAACCAATCAAAAAATTTTAAAATAGGAAATCATCTATAAGGAAGTTGTACTTGCTTTCGATTCGAGCTCTGTACTCCAACAATTACAATTTTTTTTTTTTTTTTTTGTTTTGATTACGCGTTTATCTAACCAATCGAATAGTATAGTTCACTTTAAATTGAAGATTTACAAGTCCGTTAAAACAATGTTAGTGAATGGGTTCTATGTTATTGATAAGTTGTAGTCGTTCAGTTTTTGAGGAGTTTTTGGGAGTTCACCTCCGTTTTTTGGCTTGATTTGGTGACTTCATTTAAAAAAAAGTTGCAATTTTTTGTCATTTTATTTTCCCGTTTGCATGTATGTAATATGCCTAAACCGACTTCAACGCTCAAGGTCATCAAGAATTCTATATTTATTAAAGCGTAGTAGTGAAGCATAATCTTAGGCATCGCAAACATCGTAAAATAAACTTTCAGGGCAACTCTCTCTTTGATAGGGGATAAGATAAAGGAAAACTTGATATAATAGACACAAATACACAAACTTTCACGAAAACTTCATTCTTCGGTAGGGTATAAAATAGATGAAAACTTGAAACAATCTAAACGTTTGACACAAACTGATAGAATAAGTGTGTGTTTATCCCATAGGAGTTTTTAATATCAACTTATTGGATTCAAACTGGACGAAGGCGACTGGATAATATTTTAAAGACCTAAACTAATATTATATGGTTTTTGAGCATCAATTTGGAAAACATATTCAAGACGATAGGAACGCATGCAGATTATATTCTAGATAAATGAAGATTTTCCTTTCCTTCAAGCGCGTTTTTTATAAATGCAACCCTTGTAAGCGACAATTAACGGCATATATTAAATCATAAAATTTGCATATTCTTTAGGCGCGAATAAAAAAAAAAAAGGTGAAGTGATCTTTGATGCACTAAAGTTGCAAACCAATTTAAAAAGTCCGATTGTAAATCACAAAATGTATTTTTGAAAGATATATAATTCTTAGACGATCTATACAAATTGGTTGATTTGGTCCTCTGGTCCTCTGGTTTTTTGGAATTTGCTTAGTTGAACTGATTTACACTAATGGCTAATATACATCCATTCAGTTAATATTTCATTTGCATTGGAATTTCAATTAGCGTCACCTCCTCCTGGGTTGCCTTGTTGCACTCTACACTTATAATAAAGGTTATATTTAGTTTGTATGAATATATGTTACACCGAGAAGAATTTGTATGAGATCCACCGATCCACGATTCTGAATTATTTTCAAAATTAATTTTTCGAAATGATTCAGATTTGTCTGTCCATCGGTCTGTTTAATGTTGTAATGCTGTATGTGCAATTGTGTTTAATTTATAAATCGCGATTTTTGAGTAAAAAGATTTCATTTTTAATATTTTATAGCCATATGACCGTTAGTTCAGGACCGTAGTTTGATATAAAACTTAATTGTATCTAAATTGGAACAGGGAGATCTATTTTTTTATTTATTTATTTTTTTTTTTTTCGGGGGGGGGGGGGGGGGGGACACTTTTTAACAAGCAACAATTTTTTTCGTGGTCATGAAAAGTACGCAAATAGCTATGATTTTGCATAAGACATAATATATGATATATGATTATCGCGATAATTAATTATGTAATTGTATTAATAATACAATAATGTGTGAAATTAAAATGCTCTGCGTAATGTGACATGTTTTTCTATGCTATAAGATTAATAGAATAAGAATTATATTGAAAGTCGAAAATGAATTACAAGTTTGTACAAGATTTATATTTATAACGTGGTATGGATTGCTTTCTATTTTTACAATTCTGAACTGCCTGCAACATAGCATATAAGGCGGCACTAGCCTATCACCAATCATTAGAACTTGTAATTACATATGTCAACGTATGCTGCACTTTTAGTATTACATGCACATTACACAGAGGCCTAATTGATATTTACTTGATATTTATCTGATAACGTAATAAACATAATTTGTTGGATCAAATTAAATATAAATAAATATAATAAAAATAATTCTTTACGCTTCTTACGAACGCGTACAATTCGTAGACACCTGTGAAGCAAATTTTTTATTCATTGTTCATGTATTGTCAAAATTTAGTGAAAACAAGTAAGAACATTATAATCGGGCAAGGCCGATCGTTAAATACCCTACATCGCATTCTCTAACACAAATTTTATTTTTATTATGGAAGACAACTATTACATATTATTTCTATATAAAGGCATATTTGTCAAGTGCTTAATTATCGAAAAGTGGGCCCAAAACCCAATCTAATGTAGTACAAGTTGAAACCTTATATAGGGCAGGACAAAAAAAAAATAGGCCCAAATAGGTCCAAATTTTGTAGAGTTCATTTTGCATTGTATGAAATTGCTATTATGAGTAAATTTTCATCATCACATATTAAAACTTAAACTTTGCTGCTCTACAAAAGAATCAATTCTCGTGAAAATCGTTATGTGTAAAGGATCGCGAAAAATAGGCCAAGATGATTCAAATTTTTGGTACAGTTAATTAATTTTTTCATATCACATTACTATTATGATATAATTTTCATCATGAAGCATTAAATGTCGCATGAACTTCGGTTTTTATAATATGAGAGAAAGTTCAAAAATTGTCGCAGCGGGTCCAAAGTATTTTCGAATATCGAAATACTACTACTTAGCCTGAGCGGAGAAATTTTGAAAATTCCAATTTTTTTCCATATAACGACTTTTCAGAATAGGGATTTATATGGACACCGGTCCGATTCGTGTCATTTTCGATAGCGTTCCTTCTTGTGTCACGTAGTAAATTTCATCAAAATATCTGAAGAATTGCGTCCTGTAGCTTGAACACAAATTTATATGGACAGACATCAGACAGACAGACGAACAGAGTGGCTTAGATCAATTCAGATTAAGATTCTGTATCGATCGGTATAATGAAAGTTGGGTCCATTTTAAGCCCTTCTGCGTGTTACATACGTCCGCACTAATTTAATATACCCAGTACAACAAAGCTGGACAGCATTTTGTACAACGCCGGCGAAACCGAAAACGAAGACAATGGAAATTTTAACAAAACTTTCGAAAAGCATTTGCCTTCTCGCACATTATTTACTAGACGGTAAAAAATTGTAAAAAGTCCCTCAAATGCGAAGCCATGATACTTCTTCATTTCCTCTTCGCATTTCTCACTTTCGCAAATCAAACGCGCTTTGATAAATATTCGAATTTGACTCGACGCGTTCTATTTTTGCAGTGAATATATGGAAATTATTTTGATTAATTTAATCAATTAATGTTCGATTATCAGATTACAGCCTAAGATGTGTTAACATAATTTTGTCAGCGACACATATCTTTACAAACAGTAAATATATTAATATTAATTATCTTTAATATCCCATACGGCTCCACGTGATCGACACACAAATACGCAGTTGCAAGTGGAAAAATCTGCTTAAAGAGTTATGTATGGCGTTACAAGTTTTCGCCTATAACTAGTTTATCATACATTTATTCAGAGTCAATTTGCGTGGGTTTAGGGAATAAATTATTTGAAAAAGAAAAATAATAATATTAAATAACAACAACAACAACAACAACAAATTAGTTTAATTTAAAAAAAAAATACGTATAATAAAACGAATGCGATTTATAACAGTCTCAGGATATAGTGTTAATGTCATTTGAACATGGAAACGATGGCAAATATGAAAAACTGTTATAAAAAAGATTGCCTTACGTTGTTCTTCTTTCTTCTTTCTTCTTTCTTCTTTTTTTTTTTTTTTTTTGTGAGAGACTCATTTTGAAAGTTTGCTTGCTCTTAATATTTATTTCCTGTCTGTCGTTTAAGTGTTCATTGCAGCGTTTCTTGGAAGTTGTGCTAATAGTCGGTTTAGCGACTTTGGGTGCGGCAGCATCGGATAAAAAATTGGAGAAACGTGCCACTGCCTGTAAGGGATGCTCGTACACTGGACGTACGTATTATACATACCCTGAGGGCACCACTGTCGAGAGAATTATTTATCAAGATCGTGGTATATATTTGGAATTAATTGAATTTCTTCCTCGCATATTTATCTCATCAAAATTTTACATTCACTTCCTTAATTGCACCCAGCATTCATATAAATTATAAATAAATGCACAGATCTTGGTAATATAGTCTTATATGATATATGGTATCCTCTACAATGAAAATAGTTCAATCATATAAAAGTCGCCTTGTATTTCGCCCTATACAGGGTACTTACTATTACTATACGTTAAGTAGTCAAAAAAAAAAAAAAAAAAAAAAAAATTAATTAATCCTTGCTTGACAAGATCAAAACTCATAAATAATATTTATTGATTTTATTCAATCCAATCACGCGTTTCTTGACATTTTTTAACGCATTCGTACTGATCCTGTTAAGTTAATTAACTTTTCTACGGCGACTGAGTAATTAAACTCTTAGAAGCTGTTACGACAATCGCAGTTATGTTATAAATTGATTGTATGCAAAAACATAATAATAATGTATGCATGTATGCATTAAATATTTAGTTGATACAGTTTATCACGGTTGCAATGATAATCCGTGCGGTGTAAATGCAGTTTGTCAGGAAGCCAGTGGTGGTCGGCCTGTTTGCTCTTGTCCGCCGGGCTTTAGTGGAAATCCATTGACTCTCTGCAATCGTGGTGAGTGCTTGGACAATGTCGAATGTCGCGGCGATTTACAATGTAAAAATTCTCGCTGCGTTAATCCATGTGTTGGTGCATGCGGTGCAAATGCAAATTGTGAAGTAAGTAAAAAAATTATATTTTGTTTTTTCTTTTAAATTTACTTTATATTTTAAATATTTTGAATTGAAAAATTTTTTTTAAATTATTTTTTAGCCTAAAAATCATGTGGCTGTATGTAGTTGCCCTTCAGGATTTAAAGGTGATCCACTCGTTGCTTGTCATCGCATTGATCCAGGTATATATAATTAAATGTATATATGTATGTTTGTATATGTTTTATATTATACATATAAGTCGTCTTGCTTTTTTTCTTCTTATTTCACAATATTAAAAAAAAACGCATTTGAAAATCTCGTCGGTGCATCTAGTATGCATTTAGAGTAAGCAGCTAATTAGTTACGATTTACTAGATCTTGTTCAATTTATTTTGAAAGCTTTTGGTCTTTTGGACTAGTGAAAATCATTTTAAGATTAAATGGAGAACATCGACAAAATCAAATTATAGTCAACCATAGTCCAACATTTAATAACCAACATTACTTCGCTTAATACAGTGATTCGCATGACGACTTTTCAAAATAAGACAATGTATGCGAAGCGGGCGAATCATTTTCAATAGCGTGCGTACCAAAATATTTTGATGTACCAAAAACGATTAAAATATCCGAAAAATTGCGATCCTTTTGTTGAAAACAGAAATACATGGACAGACAATAGACCGGCAGACAAGCTATGATCGTTTTGGAAAATGATATTGAAGCGGATACATCTCAAGCGTTTCTAGTGGTTGTACACAGCTCCAGAAACTCCACAAAGACAATTGATGTCATAAATGGTGCCGGTTATAACAAAGTAAAAAGTCGGAGAATCAAAAAAAAAAAAAAAAAAAGAAAGTTAAAATGCCGATCATTACTTTGCATAATACTCGTCTTAAAATTCGTCATAAAATAACTAAAATTAAACTTTGTTATCTTATCCTTTATAAATACCCGTATATGGTAGGGCACTCAAAACGTGAACCAATGAATACGAAATTAGTAAATATTTTGGTTAAAGAATTGATTTCTTCTTGACCTTGTTTCCGTTAAAAAAATGCTAGAAATTATATCTTTTTATCATATTTCATATTTATGAAGGCTTATTTTTCGGTGTCCCAAGAAATCGACCTCGTCGGTCCGATATTAGCATAGTAAACGTAAATGTCAAATCATTAATTTTCATCATAATATGTTGGGCAGCACGGGTTGTTGTTGTTGCCATTTTAAGAAATTAATTTTTGTCAAAAAGTTTATATGCGAGAAGGTTGTGTGCGACATCCAATCAAAATTATTTACATTCACATTCAATACTATTTTTCACTGCTTTTTATCAAAACATATTCTATGGGGATTGGTCGCTAGAGCTCGTTTTTCGACTATCAAAGCAGACATCGTCCGCACAGATGCAATTAAATAAATTCTGAAAATAATTCTATTATTATTATTATTATTATTATTATTTTAATTTTAGACTAATGAATTGAATTCTTAGACTAAAAAAAGACATTGAGCACTAGCAACACAGGCTATCGGCTCGAAAATAATTCTAAATCGATCTGATTCCAATAAAAGATGCATCCATCTCAAGACTTTCCCCAACATATTACAAACAATCTTACAAACTCAATGTATGTATCCTTACGCGTAGCAGTGCAGCGAATGTTGGAACTTTTTACGTATGTATGAAGCGGAATTCATCTCAATAATAACTGAACCTCAGCAAATAACGAAGAATTTTGGAAACATATTTTTTTGCGTTCCATAGGGAGCACAAGACTGTATAACTTAATCATGTGAACAGAACTTGAAATGACTTAATGCCCTTTTCCTTAATTTACATATTCGCCGTAGTCAACGGACTTAATTGATTAATTCAGTTGTATATCGGCAATTAATAGATAGTTTTCATAAATTCATAACTAAACTGTCTGTCTAGGGCGTTCACAAATACTTTTCCAGTGCCATTGTGCATAAGTTATTCAAAATCTGCTCTCACTATTAACTTTAGTTTGAAGCGGCGATTACTCGCTTCATTCGAAAAAAAAGAAAACATTACGTATTGGTCTTGTCCATAACAGGAATGGAATATTGATTGAGTGGGTTTCAAAGACTTGCAATAGTAATAATCAAGCTATCTGCATAAAAGTTATTACGCCCTAATGATGATTCATATAAAGAAGTGAACAAATTGTATGTAAATGCGGTAAATGTTTTGCTTAAAAAGAAAGAAAAAAAAATACAGAAAACATTAATTAAATGTTGTTTTTTTAACCTTGATCTTGAACGATTTAAACATTGATGATTACACCACGATAACCGCAATGATTACCCACATTTGGTGGCTGGCTGGCTGGCTGGCTGGCTACTTGTGTACAACGATCAAGAATGATCGCAACAGTCAACCCACATTTTGTGCATGAGCTTGTTTTGGCAACAACAATTTACTTTTAAGGAAACGCAACAGCATATATATATACATACATACATATATATGCATACATTGTTTTGCAATAATATAGACTTCACTATGCGGACTGGCGGTATTATTCATCGATGTATTGTGTAAAACGTATTCTATAAATTTTTTTTTTTTTTTTTGTAATTGAAACTCGTTCACCTTCACTAATTTGTATATGAGTCCATCATTTTGATTAAAATATTTCTTCTTGTTAAATACGCGACGTATAATACGCTTACGTTTTACGAAAACTTTTTATAAGGAAACATGATCGAAAATTGTTTCAATATTTCTTATGAATTTTAATGATGTTTTAACCCCTTCGGTTTGTGCATCTTTCATTCATATTCCTCTTCAAGAGCATTAGTTCATAAGCTATGCAATTCTTATCTTAGCGAATACGAATTACGTGAAAACATTTTGAAAAACTTGACTTCGTAGGATGCAATCAATCTTTTTCGTAGACTATCATAATCGAAAGTGCTTGTGATTAAAATTGAGCACTAAACTTGTGAGAATGTATGTCACATTCGAGAAAGACTTGAAATAGACAGAACTTTCATGACATCGATGGATTCAAAATCATTTTTTGAAATAAGATTTATAAGATTGTCTATATGTCTGATGCCTGTCCACGTATTCGTTCTGATCTGATAGTTGCCAGTTGAAAAATTTCGATAAAATATGACAATTACTGACACGTTTTGGCGACCAAAGACCAAACGATGTTGAAAAATGAATTGGAACAGAGTGCTTTTGTGAAAAGATTTTTTATATGAGGCAAAATTCTCCAGCAAATCGCTGCAAAGTATTAATTTTGATACACTAAATGCGGGTGGAAAACTTTTGAAGTGATGGAACCAGTCTTTAAATCTCTTCGCATATAAAATGTTCTTTGAAAAAAGTTTTGCAATAATCAAATATTGTTTTGCCAAATAAAACTGACTATGAGCAGCTTGGCCTGCGTTGATTGATCTGTTGCTCGAAACTCTTCTCATAATATAAGCGAGTGGCGACTAGCAACTCAATGGTTGTGGGTTCAAATCTCAACTGCGATAGAGTTTTTACTAAACCGGAAAGCCTTAGATGCTAGTGCTTTAAGACTCTTAGTCTTAGAATTTATTCTCTGACTAAATTTATAATAATAATAATAATAATAATAATAATAATAATAATAATAATAATAATA